CCCTGCCAGGCTCGTACCCCCAGGCTACAAGACCTGCCAGCCTCTTACCCCCAGGCTACAAGAACTGCCAGCCTCTTACCCCCAGGCTACAAGATCTGCCAGCCTCTTAACCCCAGGCTACAAGACCTGCCAGCCTCTTACCCCCAGGCTACAAGAACTGCCAGCCTCTTACCCCCAGGCTACAAGATCTGCCAGCTTCTTACCCCCAGGCTACAAGAAATGCCAGCCTCTTACCCCCTACGCTCTGGTAGGCCCACTGGTAGGGAAGTTTTCTGTTTTCCCTGAAGATGGCCTTTAACCCCTTCATGACTGAGGCCTTTTTTTTTTCTTCTTCATTTGTTTTATGTTGCACGATATTAGCGTAACTCCTTATCAAACCCCCAAATTTAGTGAAAAATGTATTAAAATGACCCAAAACACAATAAAATACCAATTTTGTTTTTAAAATATAAAAGATGAGGTTACAACGAGTAAAAAGATACCCAACATGCCCAGGTTAAAAATTGTGTGCATCCGTGAAACGGCGACAAAATTCAGTACCCCAAAAAGTCCATAGACGCTTTAAAAGCCCCCACAGGTCATCAGTTTAGAGATACCCAAAAATACTGGCCCTAGAATTATTGCTCTCACTGCAGCGTGCGCGGCGATACCCAACATGTTTAGCGAGTTTGTCGTTTTCATACGTAGGCGCACCCGACGCGTGTTTACGTGAAGACGCACGTGCTCGCGGGGGACTTTAAAAATGTTTTTTTATTATTTTTAGATTTATTTGATTTAATGATCATTTTAAAAACGATTTTTTTTTTTTTAACTTTACTTTAATTGCTATCACATAGTGATAGCAGATGGTGGTGACAGGTACTCTTTAAGGTGATGCTGGGGGTCACCTTAACACTCCAAATAAACTATTGAAGTGCAGATCGCACTTCAATAGCTTATAGCTGGGCTTCAAGAGCTCAGCACTGACAGCTATGAGACCGGAAGTGATGCAATACGCGTCGCTCCCGGTCCCATAGAACTGGGAGGGGATCGACGAACGGAGGTTCGTCCATCTCCTCCCTGGCTTCCCGCTGACACCAAAGAAGCCGGTCCCGGGCCCGTAGCAGAGGCAACAGAGCCCGGGAAAGACGGCAGGGGTGTCGGGTGGAACCCAAAGAAGCGATCTGGCGACAGCTGAGTCGCCAGAATCGCTTCTACTGTAAAGCTGACAGTCGGCTTTACAAGTTTAAACAGCCCCGATGCCAGCGACGTACATTGTACGTCGTTGGTCTTGAAGGGGTTAAAACATGAAAGGCTATATGTAGGTTCTCCTGTGCCAATATGGGATCAAACATCTGGATTTTATATTGCAAACTGGTCAGTGGGAGTCATTCCTAATATTCACTTTGTAAATATAATAGATTATGTATATA